AAGTCTTAGCGATTCTCGTCTAATTTACATTGATAATGCACAAGTGTCGTTGCTTCGTATATACGGACGCGCCACCCGGAAGTCATCCAGGCGATATCAACGGAAATAGACTTTATTAGATGGTTGAGCTGAACTTTTATATTTATTTATTCTCTCTTTTTCTTGTTTTTTTCTCTTTTTCTCTTCCATTATTATTTTCTTTATTGAAAGTTCCATCGGCATCGAATTATTGATCGCCTGTATACGGCTCGGCCCATTACTCTTCTCTTGTTATTTTTTCTATAGTCTCATTGTATCGTACGGATTAACGTCATAAGCGTTTTCACCTTTGCTTGATATTTTTTTTTGTTTCTGTTTGCTTGAACTTTCCCGGCTATGCTCGTGGAAATACTTTCGTATTCTCATCACCCGTTCGCATCAATTCTGGTAATGGGGGATGGTTCGTCGTTGCTTTTGTGTTTTTTGGTATTTTTTTTCGATTATTTTTTTTTTTCTCTGTGGTACCGAACAATTCGATTACGTCTGTTTAATTAACGATGCGATCGCCACGAGGGAATTTCTCTGGGATAAATTTGATATAATTTATATCCTTGCGCGCTTAAAGGCGCACCTTCAATGATGCGCCTTTAACGGGAATAAAATTTACAGGGCGTTTCGATCAAGAGAGACGATGCGTTGAGTACGATGATGATAGAGAGAGACACGTGGGGATAGACGATAGGGAGGGAGGGTAAGGGGTTATCGGATATTCTTTAAAAACGGCGATATCTCTTTGAACAGTCCCGCGAGATAACGAGCTGCACTCTGGACCGAATCGAAGAAGCGTGAAATTTGCCTCGTCGACTGTAGATAAAGTAATGAAATCTCGAAGATTGAATTTCTATACGACGTAATTACCTCTGGCGCGTAACGGCCGTACGAGGAATGAGATAAATAAGGCGAGCGACGACCCGTCGTCGGCGGGTGGCGACGGGGGGGAGGAAGGGACAGAAGTCGGCGGCGGTGTCGAAATTTTCGTTCGTTGGGCTTTTGTAATTTCGAAACTCGCCGCTGATATTATCGCGGGCCTGCTTTACGCAGCAACTGCGCGCGACTGAAAACACGTATTCCCGTGGGGCGTTCACAAAGAAGGAATCACGGGCCGCTTCGAATGGACATCGCGTATCACTTTCAAATCGCATTCCCACGAGTGGGCCCGAGGGTTCGTGCAAAAGAGACGGAAAAGGTCGAGATAAGTGTGCGCGAGACGAGAAAAAAAAAGGAGCAGGCCAGAGAGAGAAAACTAAGAGGCCGTCTGGCAGTGTTTCGAGAAATCCCCAGTGAGGAGAGAGAGAGAGAGAGAGAGAGAGAGAGAGGGAATCCAGGCGATAGAAAAAAAAGCTAAAGAAAAATCGTATTGAACGTGCCCTTTGACCCGTCCTCCGCTAAAACGACCGTCGTGCAACGCGATGCGCATAGGTAAACGATGTGTTCGGAAGCCAATCGTGATCGATGAGACGCACACCTGAAGCGTTCCAGGGCTTGGTCGGCACTGCACGCGAGGAACCCGAGCAAATTGAGTTGGTCGTCTAGGTAAGGTTGGGAAACCTAGACCAGACACCTATGTCAGAGTAAAAGTCGAAGTTTTCCAAGGGTATTTTTCTCGCGGGAGTGTATATACGCGTGTAACCCGTGTTTGGTGGAGAGGACTTTTTTTCAGGGACGTTGCGATCCCCTCGACCGGGCGAGGAAGGGGAGGGTGGGACAAGGCGCTCGGGGAGAACATAGAAAGAAGGACGAACGGCATAGAGAGGTTAGGATTCGAGAATGGCGGCAGCAGGTCGGCACAACCTTTCGAAGTATCGGTGGACAATATAACGACGCCTGATTTCGGTCTTCTCGCATCTGGGACCCCGTAAGGCTGGCCGAGGCCCCTGCTTAGAGGCTTCTACGTGAGTGGAATGTTCGGCCGGCCATTGGCGTAGCCAAGGGATCCTTTCTCGACGTACGGATGCATTTGCTTTTCCTTCGGCCTCTGTATATATACGGTCGAGGGTCGTTTCTCTGTCTCGCTCCTGCGCCTTGTTAGGTCTCCCGCTCTTGCGCCTTATGCCATCTCCCTCCCTCTCTCTCTCTCTCTCGGGTCGAGTCAGCAGGTAGAAGAGAAAGAGAATAGAAAGGCACAAGCCACCAGACATATCCAGTCAGGCAAGCCAGCCAGCATGCCAGCCTGCCTGCCTGCCATGCTCGCTCGGCGAGCTCATCCCTGGTCTCTACTACCGAGGTGACTAGGCCAGGGTCTTGCATGCCCACCACCGCTGGTCTCTACGACACACGGGACACGTTACACGAGGTGTACACTGCTTGGGTATTTACCTGCCTTTTCTCATAAAGGATGGCGAGGATACTCGTACCGCCAATACTTGTAGTTGGTGAATTGATGCAACTGTCTCGCTTGCTCTCGTTTGGCTCTCGCATGTATTATTGGCTGCCTCGATGTCTGTCGGCCCTGTATCCTTTAACGTAGGGTGTACTACCTTCTGTGTACTTACTCAGTATAGGGGCCCCGAGTCCGGTGCAAATTACTATGCCGATATAACGTACGTGTATATATATGTATATATATGGCGTTGCTGATGCCACCAGCTCCTTGTATAGATATATATACACTGTATAGTTATATAAATGCGTATATAAGGCTGTGTGACTACCATCTTCTACCTACTTACCTACCTACCTATCTAGACACCTACCACCCCTCGCTCTCTTTCTCACTCTCTCTCCCTCTCATCCCTCCACCACGTTCACCAGTAGTATTACACTGCCGGATAGTCCCTCGGGAAATGTCGCGTCGTCGACTATTCGGAATTACATTTCGCAAGGAGAACGCTCGCGTCGAACGTCGTTCTAGGAAAGGGTCGACGGTTGCTGTTTTGAGACGCCGGTTCTTCAAAATTCTTAAGGCTCTGTATGTCCTCTTTCGTATAATGCGCGCCGTGGAAGTCTGCGTTAAATTTTCATGGTAGCCTGGTGAAATTGTTTAGTGATTCATCGAGTCGTCGTTACCGAGGCTGTTGCGGCTTCTTTGTTTTTCTAAACGCGCTCGGAACAGACCCTATCGCGGACAATTGGTGAGAGCCGGGCGATTTTAGCCGAAAAATATTATGGAAAATTTCGTATCGTCACGGAGCAAGCGAGAATCACGGGCCTCTTCACCCCTCTTCCGCAGCCTTTTCAAATATTTGAGCAGCATACTACCAGGGAATCACGTTGAAACGACGAACGTTGCCAGCGCCAATCCGCGGTAGCACGAGCACTCGGGAAACTAGTATCTGTGTCGCAGTGCCGCCGGTATCGGTCCTACTGGAGATTGGGGTTTCGGGTCGAGAAGTCACAGTCGCGTGATATTAATTTCGAAGTAACAGATGGGGGCATCACGAATTTGAATACCGCCCGGAACTTGGGACAAATACGTGGCACGAGGTGTTTTTTCCATGCCGTCGGTGAAAAAAAATTTTTCCTTTCCTTTGTCTCCTGAGGGGGAGAGGGTAGGTTGCGAATGTATATATATATATCCTTTCCTTCTCCGTTTTATACGTCAACAGCCCTAACACGTGGCACGTTCCAAGAACAGGATCCCGATTTCTTGGCCACGACGACTATCCGCCGCATAAATTTCCGAATCGAGTTGCATTTTTTTCTCTCTCTCTCTCTCTTTCTCTCTCTCTCCCTGGTATACCTTCTATTCTACCTCTAGCACCATTGGTTTTCTATATATAAACATGTATGTCTACCCGTCCATCCGTCTGTCTATCCGTCCATCCATCCATCCATCTATCTATCTATCTATCTATATGCGTCCAAGTTGCCATAGTCTCGACTCACTTAATTCGTTAGGTTTCTCATTGAGCCACGTCCCTGCGGCTCCTCCTTTCCGTAGCTCCGCGCCGCACGGCACAGCAACGCCTCGGTGAAGTCTCGAATGCGGGTCCCCTCCCCTCTGCCCCTTGACAAGGGGCCTTACGATGCACTTATGGAGGCGCGTATTCACCACCGCGTATATACCTAGCATGTGCATACCATAGAGGTTACGCGGTGCTCGATGATGCCAGGTGGCGGAGGGGATGAGTCAGGGAATGAGAAGGAAGAATCACGAAAGTAAATGTATAGAATTTAAATTCGACGAGACCCATTCAGGCATTCGACGCGACGGACAATAACAATGATCACGTGACTCGTGCTAGAATTTTTGGACTGTGACAGAAAGGAAAACACACGGTGGTCCACGGCTGATTATTTATTCTCTATCTGTATCCCTGTTGATTTTCGTACCATCGTGTATGTATATATATATGAACGTTGGTGGAGGGGACAAGCAACAGACGTCGAATCGTCTATAACGAACAAGTCAAACGTCATCGATTCGGTTTACCGATCCGTACCGCCAGGCTTACGTATTATACGTGTCGCATTTCGTGCGTGCGCGTGAACCGAAGCTAATCGATGGATTCGTGACGATCGCTTGCATTATCGGCAACCCCTATGGGACATCGGTACCCGACGTCGCCGTATTGGCTGACGGTGGTTTAGGGTATCGACTACGTCGGCACTGGTCAGCAGCCTCGGTGTAACCTTTTACTTTCCGTCTGTCCAATTTCCTGTCTGGTCGTTTGGCTCGGTGAAGTCTCCTTCTTCGATTTTGTCAATGCTCTGTCTCTTTTTTTGTGTATATATATATATTTCTTTGACATCATTCTCCTTGTCCGCCTTCTGTCCCACCTCCTCCTTGTCCGTCCTCGCCTTTCTAACCTTCACGTACGTCTCCTGGAAATTAAGAAATACGATACCTGTCCCCTCAGGATGAGCTCACCGAGTTTTTGGCCGGGCTCGGTTCACCGTATCGTCTTACGGTTGGACGGAGGTCGCCTGGCGTCCCGACGCCGCACGCCACGTCGCCTAGTTAAGAATCTTGAGGCATCGAGTGTTCCGTGTGCCTTTACCTTGTCCCTTTATTGTTTCAGGCACTGACGTGGGTGGATCCTCCGATGCGTCGAATGGGACGGGGATGATGGCGCGGGAGCCGTACGAAAGTCCCGAGGATTCACGTGGACGGTGAGAAGAGTGGAAGGGCATGCGGGGAGAGATAGGGATGATAATCGAGTGATAGGGAGAGATAAGAGAAAAAGAAAAATTTGAAAGTAACCCAACCTAACCTCTGAGCTCCATGAAGAAATGTCAAGGCGAGCCAGGGATACGAGTTCCTCCTGCCAGTAGAGTCAGGCGCACTTCAGAGTCCTGGGAGTCTGAACAAGTTGGAGTGGCGGCACCGGGTCGGCGGGGGAGAGTGCTCTCTCGCTGAAGACCATCCGAAGAAACTTTTCTCCTTGGACGTGGTGAAGCGTTATCGAGGCATGAGGTACCCAGGGTGGTCCATCGTCCACTGGTAGAGTTGGTCGGAAGTGGCCAAGATAGATAGATAGATAGCTAAGGAAGTGAAAACAAAAAAAAAAAAGACAAAAGTATACAGCGCGAGCTTCAGAAGCTCGTAATTGAGAGAGCTTTCGTAATAAACGTCATCGAGGATGCCCTCGATTTTACCACTGCTTCTGGGCACGCTGGCCTACCTGAGCCACGTACTCGGCGCAGGCGACGGCGGCGCCAACAGTCCGGTCTTCGATCTGGACAACGTCGCCCTGGAGAAGAATCTCAAAGCTATATTCAACAAGGTCGCGCACAGCTCGGCCACGACCAAACGCAGCGTACCGGTCTACGAGGCGCAGATGTCGGCGAGCACGACCCTGTCGACGGTGCCCTCGCCGCTCACCACGACCCCCACGGTGCCGTCGATCAGGTACCCCATACCCAGAGCTACGGTGTCGCCGACGTTTCGGGAAGTGCCGTCCTATCCTCCGTTGTCGAGGACCTTCTTCACGCCTCCTTTACCTCCTGAGATTCTCAATCCCTTCCGGGACAAGCCCACTCTGCGGGGGACCAATTCGGACACGCACACGGGTCCGAGGAGACCCGTGCCGCCACCCAGTCTGACCCCGGCTCACGAGAGGATACCCATAAGGCCGCCTGATCTTGCTCAGCGACCCTCGCAGACGCCGGACAAGTCCTCGTCCTCGTCGTCCAGGAACAAACCCTTGAACACACCCAGCAAAGAGCAGACCAAGTCTGCCGAGACGGTGGAGCAGCTCGAGCGCAGGAACAGCACCACCAGCGAGTTCGTACCCACGCTCCATTACCCCAGTATCTCTCGGATACTGTCTGGGAGCAACGGCAGGAAGCAGGATATACCTGAGATCTTGCTGAAACCAATCTCGACCAAGGTACCACCGATTCTTCAGAACGTACCTTCGGCATCTAGCACCGAGAGACCTACGACGATGAGCATCGCCACGACAACGACCATCCGGACGACCACCAGGTCCTCGAAGGCCGTCACGCATCCTACTATATTTAATTTACCCAACACGAGACGTCAGGATGACGACACAGCCAGCGACGTCGGCTTCAAGAGTGAGAACAACGCGATCGTCGACGCGGAGAGGTTACCCCGTCCGCAACCTCAGCCACCGGCACCGTCCAAGCGGCCACCGGGTAGCAACCTCGTAGTGCCCCACATGGAGACCCATCCTCTGGAGCCAACCTGGAGGATCGCCTGGTCCCTTCACGTCTACGTAGCTGCCATCACCTTCACTCTGATGGCTCTTTACTCAATCTACAAGATCGTCCGCTTCAACGAAGCCACCAACCTCCTCACCCAGTCCTACTTCCTGACGGTCCATCTTCTCCTGACCACCGTCTGCACCCTGCGCTGCTTTCATCTCTTCTACGACGCTTACAATTTCGGCAGCTCCCTTCCGGAACCTCTGTCGGAAGTCCTCATGTTCCTGCCGGAGCCATTGCTCTCGACGGCGTTCGCTACCCTCGTCCTCTACCTGGCCAGGTGCTCGGAAGCGCCGTCGCTCAACAACAAGTTCCTCTCACCAGCCGCCGTGGTCCTGTGCTCTACGGTGCACATAGTCATCTGTATCACTCTCCACGTCTCCAGCCACGTACTGGGTTACAAGGACAAGGACAGGATACTACCACTGATCTATCAGTGCATCTACACCGTCGTCTGCGTCACCCTGGGACTGTGCTACATGTACGTCTACCGCGTGGTACGCTCCCAGATTCAGATAACGAACAGCAAGTCCGTGGGTGGCGGAAGTCATGCTGGTGCCGTTGATCCCACGACGGTTGCCCTGGGCACAGCCATTACGACCACCATCGCCACGGCTCTCCTCTACATCCTCATGGGTTTCGTCCAGCTGTACGGCGTCTTCTGGGTCCGGGAACGTCTTCTACCGTATCCCTGGCTCTGGTGGGGCTGGCAGTTCTCGGTACGTCTATTGGAGCTCTCCATGTGCGGCCTTCTTGCCTGGGTGGCCAGTCTCTCGCAGTATCCCCTGCGCGAGAAGCAACTTCAGCAGCACTCGGCCCACTCGGGCTTCGCCCTCTTTCCCTGCGGAAGCTCCACGTCCACCGAGAACATGGACGACGTTCTCTATCCAGCCATATGCAGCACCAATCAGGCCATACAGAATTACACTATGCGAACCGGCAAACAGGTATACGACGACAGCTTCCCGCTGAACACTCTACCGGAACACCTGAACATCTCCGGGACCTTCGAGAGACACTCCATAAGGAAATCCGGGACTCTGGCTCACTTTCCGCACGAAGGAGCCGCGGCGGCGGCTGCCGCTGCTGCGGCCGCTGCGGCCGCTGCACGCGGCTCACTGGGTCGTCATGGAAACGGGGTTCAGACTCTACGCGGTTCCGAGTCTCGTGCGGGTAGACACACGCCGGTATCGAATCAGGGTCTACACGAGCAGCCACCAGCATCGGGATCGACGATGCTCGTAGCCGAGGACGGGTTCGTTCGGTTTCGTAGCCTCGGCGCCGAGGAGGATGACCTCTCGGACTCCCAGAGTATCGTCGGTACCCACGGCAGAGGTAGTTCCTTGGCTGGTAGCGTGCGCTACAACGCGAGGCATCCCTCTGCCACTGCTACTACACTGCAGCATCAGCATCCGCACCAGCATCAGCACTCGCATCAGCATCAGCATCCGCACTCCGGCCAGGCTCATCATCATCAGGGACATCACCAGAGTCATCATCAGCTCTACAATAACACGTAGAATACATAACGGTCATCTAGGTTCTTGATGTCAAAACCGTTTTGTTACCCCGTGCTGCTTGTGAAAACGGTAAATAAGAAATTTTACAATTTTTCAAAAATTCCACCAGCCACTTCTCATGAAACTTTCTAACGCCCATGCCTGTTCCATTTTTCAGCTTTCAATCTCGACTAATGTTTGAGACGACCACGAGGACGACGAGCCAGCTAGTGATGGAGGATGACGGCACCGTGGATGCATCGGCAATTATTGGGAAACGGCCTGTGAGACATCTCGATGATGTCGAGAAACGAATGAGAATTAACTTTACCTAATTGTTGTAAGATACGTCCCGTGTATAGAGAACCCATATTTGCCCGCCCCAATTACCCCCTAAAGAAAAGCGTCCTTCAACCCCTACGCCAAGGCGCTGCCCGATCGACTAATATTTATTTTAACTCTTGACGAGAGAGAGAGACCGAGTGAATGAGGCATATATGAGAGTGAAAGAGCAAATGATTATTATATATAATGAAATTGTACGAATGCCTGTGAATTAAGAGAGCGAATGGTATTTGAGCGCGTGATCGACTGCATCCAAGACAGAATATAAGTGCGCGAGACCGGGCGGTGCATCGTGCGTTTACGGAGATAATTTCTCAGGAGCCACGATACTCGGCACTTGGTACTTAATACGTTCCTTGCAATTGCGAAAACTGATATATCGTTCATTTCGAACAAGTAGACCGCTTACTTCGACTTTCGATGTATCCGAGATCCGGCGACACGGCGTGTTTCCAAAGGAACGAAATAGAGAGTCAGAGAGGAGGGAGAAAGGAGAGAGAGAGAGAGAGACAAGAAGAAACAAAAGAAAATTAACCCATGGCAACACGTCGTGGATCGTGGATATATTTTTAAGTGATATACGACCAAGGGGGTCCAAACAAAATAAAACTACGTCGCCAACTTTGTAATTCCGTGACTAGCTTCGTTTTCGGGCCATTCGGAATGTAAGGTAGGCGTGAGGTTGCGTGCGCGCATGCGCACAGGCCAAAGCACTAAGAACCAGCGCGAGGACTCGCGTTTTGTACAGTCGGCACTAATTTATAGCTCCTTTCGCACCTCCCCTTAAGTTTCAGTTTACGTCTTAAGCGGATAGATTTAAGTTTCACGATTACACGCTAAGTTACGTCTGCGTTACGATTAAGTTATCCAAGGAGAGAGAGAGAGAGAGAGAGAGAGTGTACGAATGAACGAATGAATACGAGAGAGACGAACTGCGCTTCACCCATCCACGACCAATAATTGTATCTGACACGATGCTTCACCTTTCCGGTATACATTTTTCATATAATTTAAAAAATTGTATTTTTTCATCCTTTCAAGAGAGCCTCCTCTTGGCTTTTACTCTATTGGTTATATCTTCTCTTTGAGAATTTTCCTCTTTGCCTCTTCAAGACCTTTTAACTTCTCTTACCTTTGCATCTGGCCTCCCAAACAAACCCAGCCTAGCGTGAGAGTCGCGCGCACCGATGCCACCTACAGTTTGTCTTTCGCGTTTACGTGTATCCAACAGATATACGTGTACGAGCTCTTCGCCAGTCAAAGCCGACGGCGGTCAATACGATTTAATCCGATTCCTAGCTCCGGAGAGTCCCTTTGAAACAGACGGTTTCTCCGTCGTCATGGTACCTTCCGGAAGTCCGTCGACTCTTCAATTAATTCTACGTCGGATGGTATATTTATTTTGTTCCCGATACCCTGACGAGTAGACGCTCCCCTTGTCCGTCTCCCTCGCATCTGGCAAGACCAGAGGGAGCAGGTAACGGGGAGGAGTTTTCAGTTCTCATTCTCCCTTTATCATTCTGTTTTAAGTTCTTCGTTTATCTTTTGCCCGGAGTCCTACCCCCGCATTTTTATACGTCCAATTATAACGCCCCCCGGTCGGCGCGTCTGCTACTTTCTTTTTGTTTTTTTTCATCGTCTCGCGAATCAGCTGGGAAATCGGGGATCTGGCCGATTTATTTTTTCTTTCTCCATTCCATTTTCGTTTGACTTTTTAATCTTCAGTCAACCAGGAGCTTACGACACGGGCGCACCGCAAAGAGTGTCCGACCCACCTGGTGTGGTGGAATTATTTTATTTTTTTTTTTTTTTTTTGAATGTATATCTGTACTATATTGGGTATATTGTAAAGGAGTAACGTTGTGCGTGCAAGACGTGACATTATGTGTATGTGCGTGGCTGTGCGTGAATCGAGATGTGATGCGTTCCATTGAATCGAGGGAGTTTAGAGAGATACAAAAAGAATTATGTAATTATTTCATTTTTGCGGACAGGGAACGTCTGGCTATCGCGAGACGCATTCCTCCGCGCGTGCGCGAGAGCTACTATTTGAACCCTTTTGTTTTGTTCCCCTTCGAGAAGCATCGCGTAGCTTCGGTTCTAAATAATGCATATCGTTGTAAAGCTTGCGAGCGAATTATTCGCCGGTTTACGAGCGTTCGTCATATGCTTCGAGGTAAGCGATTGACATGGTGCATGAATGGAGTTACTGTGATGTATAATATTTGATATGCAGGCACAGGAGCTCTGATGTGAATGAGAGAGGGGATGAATGTAAATGGAAAAGAAGTACGGATATGCACTGGAATATAAAATTTATAAAAAAAAAAAAGAAACGTGAGCCACTCGTTGTCGAGTACACCTATTTACGTATAACGAGGGGGAGACATAGGGAGGACAGTGGGTCTTCGTGTTTTACATCGAGTTGCTGGATACGCGAGAGAAAAGAGTCCAATTTTAAAATAGCAATGGGATGCAGCGTCCAAATACCGAAGACTTCTCGATAACGATATACGATAACTCCGGAACACGAAATTACGAATGCTTAATCGGAATCTGTAAAAAAGAAACCTGTATGATATCTGTACAAAATTAATAGAAGTGATATAAACAAATGTGATCTTGTATTTATCTTATTGCGTACACCCACGCTTTGTCGTATATTATACTTGTTATGGTCGGCCCACGTATCACTGCACTTGTTACGATGTTTGAGATTATTCATGAATCACGGTTGGACTACTGTGCAAGTTTATTCTCAGCGTATTTTTTTTCTTTAAATCTTCATTACCGACTGCTGATAATATAGAGAAGCGCGTTACCGCCGGCTGGAAATTGAATGATACCACTGATCATTCGCCAGTATCTGGTTACTTGGCAAGTTTTTATTACTTGAGGATTTATATTTCATATGCGTTATCTCGTGGCGAATAGCGTTACTAATCCAAATAGGGTGAGTCCATCGTTGAACGGACAGGCACCGGTAAATGGACCTGTTTGTGTAAATTATATCTATATACAATGATTTTAAGACGGGTGTTTATTCACTGGAGCCGTTTATTAGGTGGTCATTTATTGGTGGATTTACTCTACAGTCTGAAACGTCAATTGTGGGAGTAAATTTGATAATAATTTATATATCGCATTTTTGATTGAACTATTGTTTTATTAAAGCCTTGATTTTGCTTACATTTTTTTTTCATCAGTTTCTTTGTTCGCAAATTTAATGACTGACAGATAAGGATTTATGATTTTTTTTAGGTCGAAGATCGTGTTCCCTGCGCGGGTAGAGGGAAGAGAGGGGGCTTCTATGCTTTTGTATTGCGTGACGTCATCATTAACAACGTATTGGCGTTGCACGTTAGTAACTTGAAATACGACACCGCTTAATAATTTTTAACAAACGGATAACAGGTTATCTTTATTTGTTGAAAAGAATTTTCTAAAAACTAGTTGCAATTTTTAAATAATAGATGAATATTTTTAAGGATTATATGTAAGCGAACGACATCTGGATACGTCGCGTCGAAGCTGGAAGCTGTGAAGACGGTTTCTCTTTTCTTTTAAGGTTAGAATCCATGTTTCATAAAATGTTATAGCGTCGTAAACTGTATGTCTAATTATTTTACATTTAACAAATGCAAACGGCGATGCCTCGCGCCATATATTCTATGAATTTTAGTAACGCATGGATGTCAAATGTGGCCTTGAATAATTTTGACACAAATATAATCGGACCCAATTATTTTTCAGTCGATGTAGACACTACTAACCTATGTGCTGATATAAAAAAGCTAAAATTATTTTCACATTTCCTATAGCCGATCCACGAGGGCAATGTTTTTTTTAGTTCGTAAACAATGCAATCCTTAACAAATCGTGTGTGGGTTTGCATACAGTTACGGAAATATATTTTAAAATAGAAATATAAAATAAAATTCAGTTCAAAATCATACACGTGTAAGAAAAATGCTACGCTGAGGTACCTGTTAGACTTCATTGTTTTTGATCTGTCAAAAAAAAAAAGCATATCGACAAGCCTGACAAATAAAAAAAATGTAATTCAGTGAATAGCAGTTGCATCATGTATTAAAATACGTAGCGTCGTGTGCCTGGGTCCTTTAGCGATAAGAAGAGAATACTCTTGCGGTTGACAATGGTTAGGCTATTCGATTTTAAGCAGCTTCGTCAAATAGGCTGATAAGTTTGCATGAAAGCTTAATAGTATAAAAATAAAATTACTTATCTCATGAGAAGAAAGATAAATTGTAGTCGCACAAGTACTTGTTACTATGGTGGGTGGTAAAATTTTGAGACCTGAAAAAAATATGCTAAAAACGTAATTTATAATCAGTTGAGTTTTGAAAGAAGTTCTAACGAAACACTAAGATATGTATAGCCAGTTATAATTTTTACCTTGTAGAACAGTATTCAATGTTAGTGCTGCAAAGTAACGAAGAAATTGTTAAATTCCAGATAAATTTTTCAGTGAATTTATATAAAGATAAATGTACCCATCTTATCGTTACTAGAAAATTCCTTACGTCTACAATGCATAAAAATATACATTAACCAGTTAATTAACAGGAAAAGCGATTTGAAAAATTACAACTGATATAAAATAATCCTGGTATCAATAGATTATTGAATTAGATAAGTGCACTGTTCCAAGTAGTAGCATAGAACAGCGAACTGCTGATTTTTCCAAGCGCCTCGCTTCTTTCTCATTTGTTGCTGTTTGACGTACTATATTTTTCACAGCCAATCAGCTGCTTCACGTTATATCATGCGATTCAACTCTGTGGCATAATTTTTCATGATTATTTCCGCTGATTAAATCGAATGTTACTTTCTACGTAAACTGTAAAACGCACCTTAGATGAAGGAACTAAATGTATGTTGTGTTAGCGAGTTAAGATGAGACAGCGTCAGCTAGAAAAAGAAATCTAAGTAAGCAGTGGAGTGCTCCGCTCTGGTGCATGCTGTAAGTAGCTAAAGTCACTTCTAGATGTCGTTCCGCCTTACTCGTCTACCTAACCTCATCCCTAGGTTCGCTACTTATAAACTTTTCCAATAATCCGCTTCATCAGAATCAATGAAGATCAAGAGCAGCAGTTTCAATAACTCGTACAATCCCTTTGAAAAGTCGTCGTCGACAAATTTAACTATAATTTTGTTCATCGACTAATGATTTTCCGCGAGTAAATAAAATTTTCCAGATAAAACGTCCTTGGTATTTAGTACAATGCTTTAATATGAATTGAAAAAAATTTTTAACTGTAAAATTGTATTGACACATCGACATTTCTTTCGATCCGACTCCAAAGTAAAAGTAATAATAACACTAAAAGTGTCAACAGCACTAAACAAGATGTAAGAAAGAAATAAAAATATGATTTTCAATCTAAAAATGTCAATATCTCCTTTCTCTTGACTTCATACAATCATCCCATACAAGTAACAAGTTGTATTTCAGTGCCGCCATATTTGTTTTCACGAGTCACGAAACTAGCGCCACGCGTCCCTCCTTGGCAACGTTGTCACTTACTGTCATTCGACATTACTCCCACCACCTCCCACTATTTCTCCCACCATCTACCTGTTACTCCGGTGCAGGTCTCGACACGTTCAGTACACGTTTGTTCTCGTGCAAGGTTGGATCTCAGTGTAATTTGTGAAGCCGTGTTGAGTGAAACCGCGAATGATAAATAGTGACTCAACTAGTTTTGTGCCGACGTTAAGCGTCCGCTGTTGTCAACGAGAAGTAATATCAACGCACAAGTGTTGATACTACCCAATATAGTATTAGCAGTCGTTAAACTAATAGTAAGTCAAGCACTCATTTTACTTGGGACTCGTAGTGTAAGATTCTGACAATTTCTTTGTCAAGAATAACAACAATAATATCGTCCTGTCACCTCAACAACTCGATAATTATTACATTACCTATTATATACGAACTGTTACGATACTCCAAAAAATTATACATCAACCGTCCCATAGCTCACGGTATAATTTGAGAATCTCTGTCTGATGAAACTCACGCTGCACTTGACGCGTGCGTCAAATGATGCAATTCTGAGATCGCAGCTATTTTGCGTATCAATTAATTTCCCAAAATCCACCAGCATCCCAACACGCTCTGTTACTTCCAAAAGAAGGTATTTCTGGATATAACTCCATTTATTTATTTAATTACCCCAGATTTTTTTTCCTTTGGAATTTAATATAATGCCTCAAAATTAATATTTAAGATTACTTTTCTCCCGTAACCTTGACATGAATAATTTATGTTGCCAGGTCAAAATGGTAGCAGGAAATGAATGCAGCGTAGATCAGGATTGTCCCAATAGGCAGTATTGCTATACCGAATCATCAATCTGCGTGGATTACACCAACTGCAACAGGTACAATCGTCAGGAAGCCAAGGTCTACGCCCGGAATCCGTCTCAGTGCGGACCCTGTCTTTCGGGGTGAGTATCCGCGCAATCGCAATCCTATTTTGTAGAGCGTAGTATAAACGGCAGGATCCAATCGCAGATCTTGGGAGAACATGGCGCGACGTGTGACTCATGCTCTCGGCCACCGGTTTCTCCCCTCCAGTCTTTGATCCTTTTTTCCTTTTTTCTCCCTCCAGTATTCCCATCCCTCTCGACAGAACGTCACTTTTCCCCTGTACTCCGATCCTACCTCTTTTCTTCTTCTTTTTTCTTGCTTTTTCATTATCTCGAACTGCGTCCGTAAAGGCAGCTTTAACATTTAAATCTTTTCACCATGCTGGTCCCCCGGATATCTAGGAGATTGCCGAAATTTTTTCGTAAGTTATCATATATTCGCGCAGTACACGCGAATAAAATTTCTTAATTTTATACATGTGTCATCACTCTTTGGATATATTGCACGTACTGCACTGTAATGCATGAATTTTTACGGAGTGTATTCACGTAATCTGTAATTGATAAGCTGATGATGGGTGCCGATGTTTTTTTTTTATTCATCATGGCTTATCTAACGGATCGTCATCTGATATTTCAGATACGAGGCGGAGTTACTGGGCACTGGCGAGGAGGACAATATATGCAAAAAGAGTTCAGCAAAGTCTAGCGACTTGGAGCAGAATGGGGATATCAAGGATGGCACTTGGGACACGACCACGGTCGTTATTGCGGTCGGCGTCCTTTCTGTCCTTGTAGTGGGACTGATCACTGCCCTTTACAAAGGAATTAAATGGTGGAGGAAACGTAAGTGACTAGATCGACTGATCTGGTGACGATTAAGGAGAAAAAAGTTTGATTTGAAAAGACTGACGTTTGTGCTCTTTCAGGGAAGTTTGTCCAGGAGGGCATGGGCTGTGAGAAATTTATTGCAATGAAAAATATGGGACCTTCTGCACCTCCACCTGAGACTAGTAAGTTCGTTGCACTTGGTGTGTCTTGAGTCTAGTCTAAACCTGGTGTCTGATTTTTTTTCTTCAGGATCGTTCATAGATATCGAACAGCCCCCGCCGGTGTACTCCAGGACGTACTCTAACAACAATGATTACCTCAAGGACAGGGATCTCCTGGCACGTGCCAATCCATTTGCCAGCCCTAACTGGGTGAAGCCGAATCCTCAGTACGATGATCTTCAGCAAGACAATGACATTCCTGACTACAGTAATCCTGGGGAAGACATCTTGTCTCCTCCATTGCCACCACCTCCGGCACCTGACGAAGACACTAATCCCAGTTCATGGACGCCGGAGTAAGTTATGTTCATGTCACTAGGTGTTTGTCTCCCTGTAACCGTCTTAGCACGTTCGTTCTTCTTGCAGGCAAGCCAACGTCCTGGTGCTGCCTCGACCATTTTCTCAGTTCGGTGTCGAGCAACGGGAGAATGCTGTGAACACTGCCATGGCGGAGATGAATTGTCCGGGAATCGCGTCGGATGAGGAGAACGAGAATCTCACGTCTAACCCGGGTACGGAATCGTCGGCACCAAGTCAAGGGGCGCGTGCAACCACGAACAGTAATAATAATCACGTATGGAATTTTACAATGAACCTCAACGTACTCAATGGTGATTACAAGACGTGATTTGATAACCGCAATTTAATCGGTACACGATTATGTGATAGGGACTCTACGTACACGGGCGCCAGGGATGTCGCGTGCCATTGTTTATTATTAATTGCTCACTTCGTATTTAGACTGCAATGAGAGACATCCTTTATCTTGTTATGGCGACGTGAGCGTTACTCCCGCAATCTTTTGTGTATGGTGCGATCTCGGTTTTGCCATTTATTTTCGGAATCTTGTATTTTTCGTTTACTCCGCATCGCCCTGCTTAACCGACTGAGCGCACAAAATTTAATTCTAATTCAGCGCACTGATTATGATGCATTCGTTTCTTCGTTTTATGGAACGGATTATGGCCACTGTCACTGTCGCTATTTATTTAATTAAGACTGTTGTACGGAGATTATTCAGTCATCATTTATTATTGTAGTACGCTATTGCGCGTACTCATCGTTATCGATCATTTGTTTATACATATACTTCTTAGTAATAGTATTATTATTATCGTCCAATACGATATTTAGGTAATTATTAATCGGACTCGATAGTCTACGCTAGAAATTTTTTATCTTGTAAATAAAATGTTATAAACTATGAATGCTCGAATGGAAGAATTATGGATTATTGTAGTCTTCTGTCTCTCTCTCTCTCTGGAATATGGAGGTTAGTATTCCTTTGTACTCATGTGATGCGTGAATATCTCTATGTATTGCATAAAATGGAGGTTCTCTTATTTTTAGTATGGTAATGGCCGGATGGTTGGTACATGATACTCTTCGGTAGATGGCGACATTCTGCTGTCGGCTCCATTAACTCAGTCGGTCGCTGATTTTTCCAATCGTATAGGACGTTGAGACATGCGTCTGCATGCGTCTAGCAAGTTTCACCAGGTTTTAAGTGCCATGCTTTTTATGCGAATGCCGACAGATTTTAATTTATAACAGTTATTGTAATAGTAGTAAGTAGTTTGTAATTTTATTGAATATACGTACTGATTTCTGGAACGGCGGGTTGAGTAGATTTAGTTTGACTATTTCAATTTATATTATGCATTGCATATAATTAATATGTAATTTATGTTAACCTTGATACACAATTAAATTATCACATACATTTGTAATTGTTCTTTTCGTTATACTGTATGGGGAATTAAAACTGCACTCTTTGTTTTATATTTATATTAATAAGCTGTGAATATTTACCTATGATTGTTTGTGACGGTGATCTGGTTTGTGTTTACTTCTAAAACATGTAGATGAAATAAAATTTATTTATCGAGTTTGTAATGAAATGGTTTTCTATTTATAGATGTTAATGAATCAGTAAATCAAGAAGTTCATAATGAGTGGGATTACAAGCGATGTTCAAGGCTCATTGAAGGAAGCTTTGTATGATTCCTTAAATGGAATTTTATCGCAAGATCGTGAAACTCGACAAGCAGCTGAACAAAGAATTCAGGCATTAGAAGTAACTGAAGAGTTTGGAATTCATCTGACTGAGTTTGTAGTAGATCCCAATGGTCACCTGCCGATCAGGCAACTGGCCTCTGTTCTCTTGAAACAGTATGTAGAAATACATTGGTGTGCTTCGGCTGAGAAATTCAGACCTCCAGAGTTGAGATTAAGCACTAAAGAAAGGATTAAAGAGTTATTACCATTAGGTCTTCGAGAGTCAATTAGTAAGGTACGAGAATTAAGTAATATCCACAAAACATAGCAATGACATTAATTTATAACGTTTCATGTTAGGTACGTACTGCAGTTGCATATGCAATATCAGCGATAGCACACTGGGATTGGCCTGAAAATTGGCCAGGATTATTCGACATACTAGTCAATTGTTTGAGTGGCGAAAGTGAATTTGCGGTGCATGGAGCAATGAGAGTTTTAACAGAATTCACTCGTGACCTTACGGATACTCAGCTTCCAAATGTCGGTCCAGTTATTCTTCAGGAAATGTATAGGATTTTTCAAAGTGAAAATGTCAGTATCTCCATACCTGTTTTTCTCCATGGAAGGAATGAAATGGTTTTTATAACATTAACGTTCTTTATTTAATTCTAGCAATATTCAATCAGAGTGCGAGGAAGAGCTGTAGAAATTTTCACAACAATCGTAGACCTTGTCGCCAGCACAGGACTTTATCAAAAAGGCTTTGCCCAGCAATATTTGCAACCAGTCATTCCCATGTTTTGTGAAAAGTTCGTACAGTGTCTTCGCGTTCCTAACGGCTTAACCAGCGACAGTGGATTGAAAACAGACATAATAAAAGCGATAAATTGCCTAATGAAAAGATTGCCTAAATACGTTTCGCATTTTTTGCCGCAATTGCTACCTCCGATATGGGAGACTTTAACGCAAAGTGCAAAAATCTACCAGGAGGAAACTGTAAATGGCGACGGAGAGGTGGACGAGAGAGCCGTAGATTCCGACGGTAAAACCACATTCGTTCTCGTATAGAAATCAATATTTCGGCAATTATGATAGTTTTTCTTTTTTACAGGTCAAATTATTAATTTCAATAACTTGATCATGGCTACGTTCGACTTTGTCCACACCCTGGTCGATTACAAAAGATTCTTCAATCTCCTGGACAACCTGCAATCCGAAGTGATGTTTTATCTGATAATTTTCATGCAGATAACCGACGAACAGATTGAACTCTGGACAAATAATCCCAGTCACTTCGTCGAGGAGGACGACCAGTGCATTTACGCATACAACGTACGGATCTCTGCTCAGGAACTGCTTACTGTGAGTATAAAAATTTTTTGCGTCGAAATATACAAAAATGCAACCACATAATTCGTAGGCTCTTGTCAATCGTTCAGAAGAAACAACCATCAACGTACTCTGCGATGTCATAAGACGTCATATAGAGTCAACGCGAAACTTACGGGCAGCTGGAAACGGTAGCTCAGCGACTGGAAACTGGTGGAAACTCCAAGAATCCTCATTGACCGCACTCAGTCTAGCTAAAGATGCAGTTGTCGAAAAACAACGTACTGGAACGCTGGGCTTTGACATCATCAGCTTCCTGGACAGCGTCGTTCTAGCCACTCTCAACGATTCAGGTAATGATCATTAAGATCCATTCACGTTCCGGTGACAGTGATGTTAGACCTTATGACTTTCAAAAATATTCAGGAGCTCATCCTCTTCTGTTGGGTCGTTGCCTGTGTCTTGGTGGACGTTACGCCAGTCAGATGCCACCGGAAATAAGTGCCCGCTTTTTGGAAGCCACTGTGAACGGTCTACAAGAAAATCAACCGTCTTGTATTCGCATAAGCGCCGTCAAAGCTGTCTACTGGTTCTGCGAGGCATCGTCCTCTGGGAACAGTGCCATTAACAACATAATGCGCTCTCATTTGCCAGCGATATTTCAGGGTCTTTTTAATCTAGCCAATCAGCCTTCCACCGAGGTCCTCACGCTTCTTATGGAAACCTTCGCGGTACTGGTCTCTGTAAGTAAATACGAAATATCCTTACTCAAAGATGAACATTCTTTTTGTCTCTTACAAAACGACAAAGAACTTATTTCTTTCAGCTAGACAAAGCGTTCACGGCCTCGGTCGAAAATAAAATATGTCCGCTGACCATCGCAGTCTTTCTCAAGTTCCACAGCGACCCGGTAATCTTAGATTTTTGCCAAGACGTGTTCAAGGAACTAACCGAGAATCCAGAATGCATCGGACCACTGCAAACACGTTTGATACCAACCCTTGTCAGTATGATGGCAGTAGGTTCCACAGACAAATCAAAGGATGGTACGGATACGACAGGAATACTTGCTTATCTTACGTTTAACGTATTTGCATATGTTTTTTATATTCCAGAAGGCACTCATGGGATAGCCTTGGATGCCTTACAAGTCCTGGTGCAATATTCTCCACTGCCACTGAGCAATGCACTCGTCGAAAATGCATTTCCTGCGGCTTGTAACTGCGTTCTGAATTCCGAGGACAACGCGACGCTGCAAAGTGGCGGCGAGGTGATACGTACGTATCTCTCGGTAGCAGCACGACAAGTGACAGTACACAGAGATGCAGAAGGCCGTACGGGATTGCAATATATACTGCAGATAGTTGCACAGCTTCTAAATCCTCAGGTACGGGAATTGCAGTCTGGATGTATATGGGATTATTGATGCACTTATCAATGGAATGCCTAATCGTGTTGTCTGTCATTGTTTAAGTCTAGTGAATTCACTGCAACTTTTGTGGGTCGTCTGGTGACTACTCTCATACGCAAGGCTGGAAGTTCCTTGGGTGAGAATCTGGACCTCCTCCTCAAGGCGGTTCTTAGCAAAATGCAACGGGCTGAGACTCTTACTGTGATGCAGAGCTTATTGATGATTTACGCGCATTTGATTAATAATGAATTTGATGCCGTGCTCAATTTCTTATCCACGGTACCTGGTCCCACGGGTCAGAGTGCACTTGCCTTCGTGCTCACCGAATGGGTCGGCAGGCAGCATTTATTTTTTGGAGGTTACGATCGAAAAGTCGCCACTGTTGCACTGTGCAAAATTCTTGAGTATGGAGTTACGCACGACGACAATAGGCTCAATGAAATAAACGTTAAGGGCGACGAGGTATATCCAGGTTTGTAAATTTGTATTTTATTTGGAGATTTGTCAATCCATGAAAAATTTAACAGTAAGATAGTAAAGAGTCAGTTTCTAATTGACAGGTAATGACGACGGCATTAAAACAAGAAGCAAAACTCAGTCGCAGCCTCATCAATGGACCACTATTCCTGTTCTTGTGAAAATTTTTAAGTTACTCATAAACGAAGTGTCCAACGATCTCGAGGCTGTCTTAGCTACGCATGATGTCGATGTGAGTACCTTTAATTAATTTGAGTCAAAAATACATGTACTTGTACAAAAATACATATTGCAATCTTTACTCAGGAATCTGACGAAGACGAAGATACAGAAGGTAATGACGCATTACTGGATCCAGGAAACCAAGAAAGATTTTTAAGTGAGTAGCTATTTTACTTAGCATTATTTCAAAGTTCTTTGCTGAACGATACTCCATGATATTTTTCATACGTTCAGATTTAGAAGACTTAGAGGACGACAGCGAAGAAGAGGAAGACCCAGATCTGTTGCAAGATTCAATCTATCATCTGAATCTCAGTCAGTACCTGCGCGACTTCCTACTGAACTTCTCCACGCATCATTGCTTTTCTGCGTTCGTCCAGCATCTCAATGCCACCGAGCGCAGAACCCTAAATAGTATGAACGTCAATCCAACATTCGCTTAGAAAGATCGCATAAAATAAAAATCTTGCAGTTTTCGTAATAAAAGTATCCTGTTCTGTTTAATTCTTTTGCAAGTCTTTCTTTTGTAACATTCTCTTGTGATATCAGTCGACATAAGAAAATTTAAACCTGATATCCATTCTACATTTATTCCCATGCTGTATTCCTTCTCCCCTCAATCAAATCAAAATGTCAATCACTCAACCTTGCCACACTCTGCGTCACTATCAGTTGATCCGATTCACTGGCCGTGGAGGCTGGACATAGATTGTGCGTTTTTGATCTGCAGACGACTTGGTCCAAGTCTTTGTACGCAGCTTTGATAGTTTATAATAATTGTTGGCTAACTGTATCCTTATCCTTATCTCCGATTTGGATTTTCCTTGAGTCTCACGGCTCAGGGGTTAACACTACAAAGGTAAGGTGTTGGATCACGGAGGGGCAGTTGCTCCTTTATGGAGTGGTAGTGCCTCACGGAAATGGGCGGGGAGGGGCCCATTTCACAAAAATTTGTATTTATCACTTTTTCCATTTTTCTACATAATTCTCTTTCCATTCTTTATACTTTTCTAAATTTTTATTCGAACATATTCAACGCAACGAACATTGCAATTGCTCTTCTCTGTCACACAAAAAATATTCCTGTTGACCCAGTTCATTAAAATAAAGAGAAATACATGTTTGAGTGAATAGGATTTTCAGGTAGAAATGAGCGGAAACCTCTATCAAAGGTGGGTAAAGAAAAAGAAGCAATAGTAAGACTGATGAATAGGTTACTGCAAAAAGCAATCACTAATCAACAAAGAAGGAGTTTTCAAGGTGTATGAAATTATCGATTGCAGACCCTGTCAATAATTAATTCAAATTGAATATTAATAAATTAAGTGTTTGGAATATTAAAATAATGAAATCAACAAAGTTAGATGTTAACACTTGGAAATCAGAAATGCTGGCGAAGAATATTCAGAAGTAATGGAAATTGCCGTGGCGCAGGACTCTAGAGTGGGGGAAGTGTGGGGGGGAGCGCTCGAGGCAGTGCCCGGACTCCGAGCGCTCATTCTTCCTCGAGCCGGTCTCCTATACTGGTCTCTTGGAATCATTTCAATTATCCCTTTGCAACCTTCTTGTCTTTCTATATTTATTTCTTCTTTACTTCCTTCTTTCTTTATATTTCATTCTTTACTTTCTTATTTATCTCTTTCCTTATTTCTTCTCAACTTTCATAACTCTATTCCTCACTTTTCTACTTCTTCACTTCATTTCTATATTCATTTCTTTCTTATATTCGCTTTTATCATTTCTTTCTTATTATCTTATTCTCACTTCTTTATTTCTATATCCATTTCCAACTTTCTTCTTCTTCTATATTCATTTCTTCTTTAATTCCTTATTTTCTTGTCTTTTATTCTTCACTTTCTTATTTATCTCTTTCTTCATTTCTTCTCC